TAAAGAATACTTCCTTGAATGGATGTATTTGTAGTCAGTATTGTACGGCTGATAAGAAAGTGTTCTCCCTCTGTATAGGGCCGTTTAAACAACATCAACATGTTTGTCAAAAGAAGCCCAACCTCTGGGTGATACACTTTGTAACATGAGGAACAATCCAGTGTGTGTGGGCTAAAGCAGCTCTTATGTGTGACATTCAAACAGATTGTCCTGTAATTATTTTACATAATAAATATGAAGAACAGGGTAACCTTACCTCATACCCTTATAGTACAAAATGAACAGTTAAAAGTTATACAGAGGAGGGTCTACCTGTTTTTTCTGTTTTACATGCCTTGACCACTAGGGGGAGCCATAATAAGATCTAACTGTTAATGATGAGTTCAGGGCAGGCCACACAGCATTTTTAATGATTGGGTGGGTATAATACAAAGCAGCAAAATAAAACCTGCTCACGTCTGGATCTATACAGTTTTATATCACTTACACTGCTGTTAGAATACATTAAAAGTGGATGAAAGAATGATGTCAGGCTTTTTAAATACGGTATACTGTTAATCGCCTGTTATCTTCAAACTGTGGCAACTAAGTAAAAACAAAAAACAAAAAAAAAATAGGTGTGATTTTGTCAATAAATTAAACTTTTCTTTATCTTTGTTAAGCGAGAAGACAGACAAATACCTCTGAATACAATAAATTACAAAAGTGTTTAAAAAGCTGCACGCCTCACTTTGCTTTGTGTTTTCTTCTGATTCATTCTTAAGAAACCTTCATCGTCAGCAGTTTGCTCGTACATAATATTTTTGGTTAAATTCCCAGACCAAGAAAGTGTAACATTTCTTTCAGAGTCAATAAATATGTGAAGAAAAGGCGGGCTTACCCAGAGTCCTTAGGAAGAAGTTTTTGAACTCCTCCGTCTCTAACGTGTCGTCTTTGGACCTGAAGGAAACGTTGAGGTAGTAAGAATCAGCTGCACACGTGTTGTCATGTTGTAGCATCTCATACACAGACTAGAAATAACAAACACACTGCATAAATATAAGTTATACAATATAAAGCAAAGGCCTAGAATGAGTATGAAATGAATGATCAACTATCAATAAACATGAAGTTGTACCCAATAGTTTAGGTAAGATGAATTAAAAGGCATCAGGAGAGAAATTATAACACCAAACGTAAAAGAATAAATCATTTAGAAAAGTTGGAAACTGGAAAATACTTTAAACTGTAGTACTCCTATGTAGCCAGAAGATGGCAGTGTTTACATGTGAGACAAATTAAGAGGTTTGAGGACAAGAAGTATCCAAAGAGGGGGATTATATGTGATGTATACATATTGAGCCTTTTACTAATTGATAAAAAGGGATGGATATTCATTAAAAAATAAGGTTTGTCAGGATGAGAGTTTGAAATCTTTGATACGATTTGAGTAAAATTCAAATAATGTCTGTACTTGTTTTGTTTTTGTCTTTTTCTAGATACAAATTGAGACTCAGAAATGCGTTGATGTCAGAAAGATTTGCAGTGAAAAGTGAATTGTCCTGATTTTGTTATATTGTCTTCATACTGTATGTCCTGTTTTGCTCTATTTTTATGTTTTCAATGTTTGTATGTCATTTTCAAATTGGGTAACTTTTATTTGTGATAGTAAATATTCTTACTTTGTTATTTTTACTGTATTTTATTTTAACTTTGTTTAATCTCTTACGGTGAGGCTTTGAGATAAGCCCTCATGGGTTTCTACCTCACCTGCACATGAGTTTTATTTTTTATTTTGTTTTGACTCTTCTTTAACAAAATGTGCAAATAAACTAAACTAAACTAAACTAAATTTCACAAATACTTTGGCGCCGTATTTGTGCAATTTAGAAAAGTGAGCAGGAGTTCGCTTGCAATTCATCTTGAATTCATTCCTCTCCTAAGCAACCTGTCATATGAAAAGGTTGGAGTTTTTTTACCTTTACTTTTGGATACAACTAAATAACAGAGATTGTAGCATCTTAAAACACGTAGGACTGAACAAATATCAAAGTATTAAAAATGTTGACAACCTCATTATAAACACAAATCACTTCCACAGCATCACAAACTACAGCCTTCAAAATGAAGTTGAAACACATTCTTCAAACTCTTAAGAGAGGATTTCTTGCAGGGTTTTTAAATCTGATAAACGTTACCTGCTGGAGAGCGTCACCTCCTCTGCTTGAAGAACAGCACCTGTCAGTGGGTGCAGCGTCACCTCGTCCCCTGACTTCACCTTGAGGTTACTCTGAGCACATTTCTGAAGACCAACTTTCCCCGCAGGAAAAGCTGCAACTGGCCATCCCAAACACACCTGAGAGGCAACGATAAGTGATTAGTATGGAAGTATGGAAGAAGTTACCTGAGCTGCAATTCATTTAAAAGTCGTTTTAAAGTAACAAGACAACAAACGAGAAAACAAGAAAGGAAGGAAGGGAGGAGGAGACCTCTTGTTTTCCCGTTGGACTCGTCAGCAGGACCGGTCTCCCGATGCAGACGCTCGCCGACTTCATTGAGTTGAGGCTCAGCTGGGCTAAAGTCGATCTGCAACATCTCGGCGTTTTGTCATCAGCTGGGAGGAAAAACAAACAAAATATTAAGTTAAATCAGGATGTCGAATAAAAATAACCAAAAAACAAGCTCCACATTGTGACTTCATTTTAAAAATAATGGATTCAGAATAATCATTCACAACTGTCTCATGAAATAGATGCACTTCTCTTTCAAGGCTTTTATACTTTTCAGTACTATCAAACATTATAATGACAGACGCTGCATGTATTTAAAAAAAAAACATGATATTGAAAAGTATCAAAGTATTGAAAATGGGGACGACCTTATAAGATAAAATAAGATAAGATAAGCCTTTATTTATCCCACAACGGGGAAATTGACATTGTTAAAGCAGCAAAGAGCAAAGATTGCAAACAAAAAGTGACCACAGTACAATTTAAATAAAAAAAGAAAAATTAAGAATGTACAAAATACCACATTATAGATTTTTTTAATTTATTTAAACTGATGATTGCCAGATTTGCTTCCAGTTTATGGTATAGCAGACCAAATCATATTTAAAAAAGCAGCTTCGGCTCATTTGAGGCTTTGAGAGTTTAGTTAATGTAACAAAACTTCATCTTTGTGTTGGAACTTTAAAGCATCTTCTTCCTGTGCTGAAGTAAAGAAACAAAAACAAGCATTTTCATCAGGACTTCAATAAACTCGTAGCTTGTTTGTTTGTTTGTTTGTTTGTTTGTTTGTTTGTGTTGGATCTCAACTGGACAGTCGTGAGTACATCCATGTTTATGAAAATATGTCTCTATGTTTTCTTGCAGAGGAGGAGAGGTGGTGCATTAGATCAGCATCACTGTCTGCATGCAGCATGGACCACACTGTAGTAAAGTGTCTCCTGATTGGTTCCTGATAGAAGTGACAGTACCTGTTAAACGCCCGTGTTTATTCCGTTTACCTTTATCAATGAAATCCGTGACAGTGAATGAGTTGTTGTTAAAACTTCTGCAGCTTCCTCCTCCTTCGTGACCGGATGTTTGCAGGTTTGAGGAGCCTTCAGATCCCTCCTTCACTACGAGCGAGCTGTCTCCTTCACTTCCCTTCTTCGTCTTGCTTTTATTTTTCTTTGAAGACATTTTTTTTCATACAGAACAATATCTTCTTTTTTTTTCCACGTGAACGTTCAACCATGTGTAAACAACACGGAGCGGTGCTGTACACTTCCTGGTTAAAGTTCAGCCCCGCCCCCTTTTACCGTAATCCCTGGTTGTAATCTCTCAGTGTAACTTCACGTCACTTGATATTTTTTATTTGTATATTTCTTATATTGTAAACATGTTTCTAGTATTATTCAGAAAGATTTGATGACAAAATAAAATGACACATTGTTTTTATATTTCCAAAATGTTATTATAAAAAATAAAAAAATATATTAAAAAAAATAATTAAAACTTCAAAAATGACAAAATAAAATGACACATTGTTTTTATATTTCCAAAATGTTATTATAAAAAATAAAAAAAATATATAAAGAAATATATTTAAAACGTCAAAAATGACAAACTATAATCACACACTGTTTTTATATTTCCAAAATGTTATTATAAAAAATATAAAATAAAAAAATATCTTAAAAAAATATATTTAAAACGTAAAAAATGACAAAATAAAATGACACATTGTTTTTATATTTCCAAAATGTTATTGTAAAAAATATAAAATAAAATAAATATTTAAAAAAATATTTAAAACGTCAAAAATGTCAAAATATAACCACACATTGTTTTCATATTTCCAAAATGTTATTATAAAAAATAAAAAAATAAAAAAATTTAAATATTTAAAACGTCAAAAATGACAAAACATAATTGTTTTATTATACAATTATAATTATATATAAAAAATATATATATAATATATATATTTTTTTGTTTTTATATTTCCAAATGTTATTGTGAAAAATATCAAATAAAAAATATATATTAAAACAAATATTTAAAACGTGTAATTCAAAACAATTTTGAACATTACCTGGATGCAGGTTTATTTTATTTTCTGTATCCATTATTTTTTGTGTATGTGTGATTGAACTCGTACATTTACTAGTTTAATCTCGTAAATGTAAGACTTCATTCTCGTAAATTTACGACTTTAATCCCGAATTATTATTATTATTATTATTAGTTTTAACGTGGCCCTAATCCTCCGTCGTAAAATTGAGCATTTCCAATACCACCGGTTAATTTTAAAAGTGAGTATTACGCTATTTGGTGCCGAATTCAACACTAGACCCTAGTTATTACTTTAAAGCTATCCACTATGCTACTTATGCCCAGTTCAAGCATTTAAAGCTTAATTAGAAAAAATAAGAATGGAGTTTGGCGACAAGCGCCCATACAGGCTTATGGTTAGTTATCCTCTGGGTGTTTATTCGGAGCATTACGGTATTTATGCAACTTCCAGGGCGGACTTTTACGTAACCTCGCAGCACCACTCACACATGCCGGCTACAAAGTGAAACAAATACTTCATTTAAAACGTTTTTTTTTAAACATGGCTTCTCGAGCCTTTGCCTCTAAGCTTTTACAGGTAATAAGAACAGGACGGTTTAGTAGTACAACGACAGGTCAGCTGCACCAGGTGGGAGAGGGAACCACCGGGGCTCTGACCGGCAAGGTGGACCGGTTCGGTGGAGTGACAGTGAACCTGGCTGAGGTCGGTTTACCGGCCGACATCAGCGAGAACTCATTCAGCAGACTGCTGCGAGGTTGGTTTTTAAAAGGCTGCAGGATGCATCACCTGTCTTTTTAGATGTGTAGTCCCCCACCATGTCCATTACTGATTCATTTGTTTTTCAAGTTTTAGTGAGGTTTTCAAATGATTTACAGGAGCCTTCTAACCCTAACCCTTAAACTGATATTTAAGTGGACCGATTTATCAGAGAGCCAAAAGACAATATGATACACAGAAGTAGCTTTAATCATCAGTATGGTAGCATGTTTGGATTATTTTAAAGGCTTAACCCAATAGGAAGTGATTGACCGTTCATTGATCAATAAATTGAGTCGTTGCAGCCGTGCATCACTCTCATTGGTCAGTCAGTCCAGGATTCAAACCAGCAACTTTCCTTTCAAACATCTGCCTCTGTAACCTTCAGCCTACTTCCATCAGAGTCTCTGTTGTTTGTTATCTGGTCTCCAAAATCAGATTTCATCAAATACAATCACTGACATTTCCTCAACGTCTTTAGTGTCCTTCATAAAGTAGCAACATCCTCAGGCATCAGTTTAATTTACGACCCTCTTAAGTCACAAAAAATGTCCACTTCCAAAAAACAGAACAGATTGATATTTTTTTAACCCTTTAAATGCCAGAATCATGTAATCAAACTGGCATTTAAAGGGTTAAATTCCTGATAATGATTCAATATTTGATAGTTTTGAGCAGGGCTGGAGTTGTTAAAGAGATTTATGCAAAAAAAGTAGAAACAAATATTAATCTGTTCTATTTTTATATCAGTTTTTGTAAATTGGACATTTTCGCCCCCCAATGTCCAAACAGGGAACTACATGTTAAATCTGACGCTACACAAAAACTAACAATGCATCAAAGTCAATATTTTGGATAATCTTTGACATATCCAAAACTGATTTAAAAAAAATCCCCCAGGCACTAAATATTAGTTTTATGGAAAATAACTAATTTTTGTGTTGTTTTTCATAAACAGCAACAACAACAGTGACATCAAGTAATCAAACTGGCATTTTAAGGGTTAAATTCCTAAAAATGAATGTTTGGTAGTTTTGAGCAGGGCTGAAGTTGTTTAAGAGAGGTATGCAGAAAAAATAAATAAATAAATATTAATCTGTTCTATTTTTATATCAGTTTTTTGTAAGTGAACATTTTTGTGTCACAGTGTTCTATTGATCTATTAAAAAAATAGAGAGACTTTCTTACAAAAAATGTGTGCCATATACACTAACACAGACAAAATGATGGACAGATGAAGAGGAAACATTTGACCAAATGGACAACAACGTCCATAGTGATACACCCATCATAATGAAGTGCTTTGAGCGACTGGTCCTAGCACACCTGAAAAACTGCCTCCCACCCACACTGGACCCATTCCAGTTTGCCTACCGCAGCAACAGGAGTACAGAGGATGCAGTCTCCACTGCGCTGCACTCTGTGCTCACTCATCTGGACAATAACAACACATACGCACGAATGCTGTTTGTTGATTTTAGCTCAGCATTCAACTCTGTCATCCCCTCCAAGTTGAACACTAAACTCGGAGACCTGGGCTTCAACTCCTCCCTCCGTCACTGGATAATGGACTTTCTGACCAACAGACCCCAGTATGTTAGGTCAGGACACACCTGCTCCACCACCATCACACTCAACACAGGCGTACCACAGGGCTGTGTGCTGAGCCCATTCCTCTACTCCCTCTTCACCCACGACTGCAGACCTGTACATGGATCCAACACCATCATCAAGTTTGCGGACGATACAGCGGTGATTGGCCTCATCAGCAACAACGATGACACGGCCTACAGGGAGGAGGTACAGCATCTGGCCGCCTGGTGTGCTGACAACAACCTGCTCCTCAACACCAGCAAGACGAAGGAGATCATCGTGGACTTCAGGAGAGAAAGAGGAAGCACGCACAACCCCATTCACATCAACGGGATGGCTGTTGAACGTGTCTCCAGCTTCAAGTTCCTGGGGACCCACATCACAGAGGACCTCTCCTGGTCCACTAACACCTCCAGTCTGGTTAAGAAGGCTCATCAACGCCTCTTTTTCCTGAGGACACTGAAGAGACACCACCTGTCTTCAGCTGTACTGATGAACTTCTACCGCTGTGTGATCGAGAGCATCCTGACCAGCAGTGTCTCAGTCTGGTACGGAAACTGCTCTGTCGCAGACCGTAAGGCGCTACAGCGGGTGGTAAAAACCGCCCAGCGCATCACAAGGTGTCCACTTCCTGCCATTGAGGATGTCCAAAGAAAACGCTGTCTGCGGCGAGCTCATGGCATCCTTAAAGACTCCTCCCACCCTGCCCACAGACTGTTTACCCTCCTGCCCTCCGGCAGGCGCTTCAGAAGCCTCCGGACCAGAACCAGCAGACTGAGGAACAGCTTTTTCCCCAGAGCTGTTTCTCTACTGAACTCTACCCCCCGAACTCTGAACTCTGTCTCTCTCTCTCTCTCCCTCTCTCTCTCCGCACCCTGCTGACCCCCTTTCCCCTCCATATGACCTCACACCCATCATCCCCCCCACCTCTCCTCCTGGTCACACACACACATCTCTCATCCATCTGTATTATTATTGTATTATAGTATGTTCATATTCTTTAAATTATCTGTAAACTTGTATGACATGCTCACTGCATCTTATTCTGTATATTATTAGTATACCATGCTCACTGCATCTTAATCTGTATATTATTAGTATAGCATGCTCACTGCACCTTAATCTGTATATTATAATCCTAAGAACACACTTATTTTGTAGCATTACTTATTTATAGCATTTATTTATATTTATAGCATCCCATTAATCCAGCCATCCAGATTTACCTAATAATTCACTTTGTTTTGGCTACATCTGTAAATTTTGCAATTACTGTACATAGCACAGAATTACTGTACATAGCACAGACTATTGCACTTTCTGCTTATTTGCACTTCTGGTGAGATGCCAAACCTCATTTCGTTACTCTATACTTGTATATGTGTAATGACAATAAAGTTGAATCTCATCTCATCTCATCTCATGAGGGTTAATAAAAAATCTTCTGGATCATTTTAAAAACGTGTGACTCGTGTCCTCCTCAGATTCTTTGCTCCAGTGGAAAGCGGAGGGGAAAGTTGCCGTGTGGCTTCGGGTGCCCATCTCTCTGAGCCGATGTGCCGCGGCCGCCTCCACCCACGGCTTCACCTTCCATCACGCCAGAGATGACCACGCTGTGTTGGCGGTCTGGTTAGGAGGCGGGGAGAGCAGACTGCCCGGGTTTGCAACCCACCAAATCGGAGTGGCAGGTAGAGATTGTTTTTTATAATCCCTGAAAGTTTCTCCTTGACGTGTGAAATACGGATCGTAGTTTGACAATATGATCGTACCTGATGGTCCACCGCTCAGCTGTCATGGATCAGAAAGTCAGGGTTGCTGCCTGTCATCCTTACTGATCGTGATTGGATAGGCTTTACCTTTTTTGGGCGATATCGAGGCTCATTTTATGAACAAATACCAACAAAAACTTAAGTTTATTGCTGATTGTGATGTCCTCCACATCAAAAATATTAAACAAACTTATTCTTAGTTATACACCAACACTGGTACATAATGGCCTGTCAACACAATATGACCGGAAAATAAAGCACAATGAAAATACGTCAAACCAAATACACAGAAAATATTTAAATAGAACCTTCTCAGCCTTGTTTCATTGAGAAAATTAACATTAGATGAATTACTGATCAAAGTAACAGTGATATATTCACTACAATTTGCATACAAATATTCTCTACATAACTGACTCTGTACTTCACAACATGACTTCTCCTCAAACATACAATGCTTTTTTTCTGAAATATATAAAATATCACTTCAGGTGATTTGTCAGTCCTAGTCTTCAGTCTGTATAGAGTTGAGTCTGTGATTGGCTGAGTTTGATCTGGTGTTGTGTTACTTCTAACGGACCGAGCTGAACACAATGCACATCACAGATTGTTACTGATATTTTAAAGGTTTATTTTTTTGTAGAGATCAGACAGTGGAAAGAGTCTGAAATCGGGTAGAATGAGGAATGACACGGGGAGGGGGAAAGGAGCCACAGGTCAGAGGTCACCTGCTTGGAGGACCATGTCTCCGTACATTGGGTGCCCCCCAGATTGCTACTGATGTCAAAGTTAACATTAACACAGCAAAGATAAGAGCTGCAACAAGGCTGCCGCTGACAGAAAGTACATTTACTTCTGAAGTCCGTGCATCGTGTTTAAAAAGGATACATACACAGAAGTTCAGTCGTGTTTTAGAAAATGCAAAGGTGTGATATTTATGCATAAATCCACTCTGTTGCTGCGTCACTTCAGAATGTTAGAAGTAGCAAAATGAGGTGTTGTTTGTGACCTGAGCTGTGCTGTGTTCTGATTCTCCAGCAGATGGCAGTGTGTTGTTGTTGTTGTGTTGTTTTTTTTTCCACTTCCCTACCATAGAGTGGGAGCTGCACTTGAATCATGTCAGAACATGTCCAGAGCATCCTACAGAAGGAAAATGAGGTCCAGAAAGTTCCCTTTAATTGTTGCCAGAATGAAACCGAGGTTTGGAATGTGAAATATGTCGCTGTTTGGATGTTCTGAGATGTGTTTGCCCGAGCGTTTTCTAGACCCCAGCTCATTAGTTTGATAGAAACTTGTGGAACTAAACTTTGTAGGGTCAATCAGGACTTCCTCACTCATTGATTAGAGGGCAGTCATACCATAGTCAAACTATTTTTGATATGTCAGATTGCAGCCTGCATGTCCTCCAGTGTGACCGGCTAATGAAGAGTGATTTGCAGGGAGGCAACATGAGCCTCAGAGGGCTTTAAAACTGTCCAACATGAAAACAAATGTCTGGTCAGTTTATTTTTAGGTCCAAAGTGACCTCCATTGACTTTGAAACATAAAAAAAAAATGACAAGGTTAGCCAGTCTGCAAGCTGTTTCTGCTATCCTGGCCAAGAGGGGCAGCAGCACAGCAAAGAGTTACAGACAGAAAACACAGAGTAGTTACAAACACAGTATAACATCCTGAGTCACAGAGCAGAAAGTCATCAGTCAAAGCATCTACAACCTGAAGCATCTTCCTCCAACACCTTCAATCTGCATGCTTGAAAAATGGCTGGAAGCAATTAAATGCTTACAAAAATATGGAAACAATTTATAGCATTTTTTTAAATCCAGGAATTGATTCATTGGTGCAGCTTTGTCATCTAACTACACATTGAGTCAGCTTCCCTTCACATAGTCTTCAGTACACATGTTGACTTAAATTTTCACGACTCAGCTTCATCGTGAATCACAGGCGGTGTTTGAGGTTCCATGCATCATGTAGTGACTCACTGGATTTCCTCTTTTCCGCAAGAGTCTATTCTGTTCATTCATAAATATACCTCTGCAGGGACATGAAGGACATGGGCATCACGGGGTGGGGGGGGGGGGGGGGGGCTCAGAAGACTAGAAAAGCGATATGTAAGCCATTCACCATTTATATTTATAGTTAAATCCTGTGATGAAATCTGACTCCATTGTTTTGAGGATGTTGGTGGTTTTTTTTTAATGAATTATTGAGAAGAGAAGATTATTCTCTCCACATTAAAAAACTAGTCACGACTGCGGTATCAGGATGAAAACATGCAGATGATATCAATCAAAAGTGGTTGTTATTGTACAAACTGAAAGGTCGTAGGAGAAGCTCGCATAAAAAAATGAATTAAAAAAAGCCACTGTGTGTGGCTCAGAAGCCAGCTGTAACCTCAAGCCATTAACAGTTGTTTTTTTAAAATAAAAAACCCACAGTTCCCCTCCTATGATTGCTTCTGGGTTTATATTTCTCTTCCCTCTTTTTTTCTCCTCGTGCTCCTTCTCAGTATTTTATTTCCGAGACAGAAGGCTTCATAATGATAGCTTCCTTTCGTAGCCTCCTCCTGTGAAGCTACATACACATGGCAGCAGGGCCGAGGGGATGACATCACTTTCCACTTCAGAGTCCAAGTCAGGACGACCCCTCCCTCCCTACACATCTGTGACTTTCATTTTAAGGAGGCCCGACCTGATCCGGCTCACACTGCAACCGGAAAAGAAAGTGGCCTTTTTTCCCTCCCCCTCCTCCTCTTCCTCGCCCTTCTCCTCCTTCTCCTCCTCCTCCTTTTTCTTCTCCTCCTCTTCCTCCTTCTTCTCCTCTTCCTCGTCCTTCTCCTTCTCTTCCTCCTCCTCCTCCTCCTCTTCCTCCTCTTCCCCCTCCTCCTCCTCCTCCTCTTCATCCTCCTCCTACTCCTCTTCCTCCTCCTCCTCCTCCTCTTCCTCTTCTCCTCCTCCTCGTTCTCCTCGTTCTCCTCCTCCTTTTCCTCTTCCTCCTCCTCCTCTTCCTCCTCCTCTTCGTTCTCCTCTTCCTCTTCCTCCTCCTCCTCCTACTCCTCTTCCTCCTCCTCTTCTCCCTCCTTCTCCTCCTCCTCTTCCTCCTCCTTCTCCTCTTCCTCCTGTTCTTCTCCCTCCTCCTCCTCCTCCTCCTCCTACTCCTCTTCCTCCTCCTCTTCTCCCTCCTTCTCCTCCTCCTCCTCCTCCTCTTCCTCTTCCTCCTCCTCCTCGTTATCCTCCTCCTCTTCCTCCTCCTGTTCTTCCTCCTCCTTCTCCTCTTCCTCCTTTTCTCCTCCTTCTCCTCCTCCTCCTTCTCCTCTTCCTCCTCTTCTTCCTCCTCCTCCTCTTCCTCCTTCTCTTCTTCCTCTTCCTCTTCCTCCTCCTCCTCGTTATCCTCCTCCTCTTCTCCTCCTCCTCTTCCTCCTCCTCCTCTTCCTCTTCCTCTTCCTCCTCCTCCTCCTCCTCCTCTTCCTCCTCCTCCTCTTCCTCTTCCTCTTCCTCTTCCTCCTCTTCCTCTTCCTCTTCCTCCTCCTCCTCGTTCTCCTCCTCCTCCTCCTCTTCCTCCTTCTCCTCCTCTTCCTCTTCCTCTTCCTCCTCCTCCTCGTTCTCCTTGTTCTCCTCCTCCTCTTCCTCCTTCTCCTCTTCCTCTTCCTCCTCCTCCTCCTCTTCCTCCACCTCCTCCTCCTACTCTTCCTCTCCCTCCTCCTCCTCTTCCTTTTCCTCCTCCTTTTCCTCTTCCTCCTCCTTCTCCTCCTCCTCTTCCTCTTCCTCCTCCTCTTCCTCCTTCTCCTCTTTCTCTTCCTCCTCCTCCTCCTCGTTATCCTCCTCCTCTTCCTCCTCGTTCTCTTCCTCCTCCTCCTCCTCCTCTTCCTCTTCCTCTTCCTCCTCCTCGTTCTCCTCCTCTTCTTCTTCCTCCTCCTCTTCTTCCTCTTCCTCTTCCTCCTCTTCCTCCTCCTCCTCATTCTCCTTGTTCTCCTCCTCCTCTTCCTCCTTCTCCTCTTCCTCTTCCTCCTCCTCCTCCTCTTCCTCCACCTCCTCCTCCTACTCTTCCTCTTCCTCCTCCTCCTCCTTTTCCTCTTCCTCCTCCTTCTCCTCCTCCTCTTCCTCTTCCTCCTCCTCTTCCTCCTTCTCCTCTTTCTCTTCCTCCTCCTCCTCCTCGTTATCCTCCTCCTCTTCCTCCTCGTTCTCTTCCTCCTCCTCTTCCTCTTCCTCTTCCTCCTCCTTGTTCTCCTCCTCTTCTTCTTCCTCCTCCTCCTCCTCTTCCTCCTCCTCGTTCTCCTCCTCTTCTTACTCCTCCTTGTTCTCCTCCTCTTCTTCCTCCTCCTCGTTCTCCTCTTCCTCCTCCTCCTCCTGTTCCTGTTCCTCCTCCTCCTCCTCTTCCTCTTCCTCCTCCTCGTTCTCCTCCTCTTCTTCCTCCTCTTCCTCTTCCTCCTCCTCCTCCTGTTCCTGTTCCTCCTCCTCCTCCTCCTCCTCCTCCTCCTCCTCCTGAAAGAAGTGGCACATAGCAGCCTCTCTTAGTCACTGAGTGGTGAAAGAAATCTGATCAAACAGGAGAGAAAAATGTAAATGTTGAAGTCGGATGTCACCATCCTTCACGAGTTCATCTGAGTCACTCGGATGTTTGGACAATAAAGTGAAGGATTTAACCCATAATCTCTTTTTTTGTAACAAACAGTGATCGATGAATCTTTATAACAATTGTTATGTCAAGACATTTTAGAAAAACAGCAGGTCTTGGTCAATGTAATCACACATCACATGTTTTTCTCATGTTGTGCAGGCCTTGGATCTTTACTGCCAAAAGCTTCCCCTTTATATTGTTCTTATAGAAACTACTGGAGTCAACAACTTAACACCAGATCTAACAAGCCCTTACACTCGGGGCAGGAGTTTTTGCTAAATGATTTTGTAAATGCTGATTGATTATTTTTTGTTTGTTTTGATTTGTGTAGGTGCAGTCGTGGATGAATCCAATGGAAAGGTTCTTGTGGTCCAGGACAGAAACAAGGTACATACTGTATTCACTTTATGGCGGGAACTTGCTGCACATGATAACCAGCTGCACTCCCACTACTACTGAAACAAAAATGTTGGTATTTTTTTGCCATGTTAAATATGTCAGTAAAATACCAAAACTAGGATGCAAGTAATGAATGCATCTGTTGTCTTTAAAGGCTGGCGTTGTCAGCTCTTGGTCTTTTAGTGGAAAAAGAAAAGAAGAGGTGGACGAGACAAATAAGGAGAAACCGCACTAATGGGTAAAAGCATGGAGACTACAGCGGCATGCTCAAGTGGCTTTCCTGAACTTATGAGGAGAGCTGGAGAAAAATTAAACATCCAAACTCACCAACTGCGCCGATGCTGACCAACGCCGATTCCACATGTCGAATCAGTCGATGGGTTGTAACGGAGCTGGACACACTGCAAAACTAGGGCGACGATCACTTACCGTCGGTCTCGATTTTGAGGAGTTGGGACAGATTCGTTTCTTTCCTTCTGAAAAATATAAAATCTAGATAAAGTAGACATTAGATTGTTCATAAGTTTATAAAGTGCATACATTTGGCAGTATTACCTCTGACATTTTCTGGCCAGTTAGGGATTATTTTATTGCAGGTAGTTCACCAGCTCTTGCCTGATGCATACGCTGCTTCATCCATCCACAGTGAGATCTCGGTGCTGCTAAAAATGTTGATGATTTGTTTGCTTGGTGAGTTGTGTGTTGCCTCTGTTGATCCAAACGTGGGTGGAAATCCTCTCAAACCTTCAGCTCCTCTCACACTCAACATAGCTCCCCACAGCATTAGTAGACCTCAGGTAAACACAGTGTTTACATGAGCTGAAGGCACTCGAACAACTCTGTGAGTGTGTGGGTGTGTCTGCGTCAGCGTCAGCGCTCACAGAGCCTCGCTGTAAGTTGGTACAAGGTTGACTTTCTGCAGGCGTCTGTCAAAAGGGTCTTTGCCTGGAACTGTTTACAGTCCCAGTTGGCCCAAAAACAAGATCGCAACCAATTGAAAGAGGTGATTGCACCATGATGCATATAGTAGCCAATTATCGTCTTGAAAACACAAGTGGGCCTTTTTAAATGAGCTTCACCTTTTTTGTAACGTAAAAAGTAGGAAATGTTAAAACTGTTCTGGTAAAGGCAGCAGCTTCCCAAACAGAATATGTGGGTAGTGGACATGCCATAAACAGAACTATTTGAGGGGGAGGGGAAACCAGAAAGTTGGTAAATCAGACAATAGGAAATCGTCTGCATACAGTCGGACTCTTCTAAGGTTACTAACTCTAAGGTTTGACTGCTTCTTTTGTATCTTATTTTGAAAATCTTTGGAGTTTTGACTGCTGATCAAATAAGAAGTCCTTTCAAGCTTTGGAAAATTGTGATATTTTTACTGTCATTTTGATTTTTTATTTAATATAAATCAAGAAAAGCAATTAGGATCGGCACACCAAGAAGCTCCCGTTTGAAGGATTGATAGATGAGTGACGTTTGGAGCCAAAATGCTCTTCCTCAATTTGATATTTAATTTATATACACAAAAGCCCTTCGAGGAACTATTGTTGCAAATCAGCATCCATTATAAACACTATGATTCTTGCATTGGATTGCTGTTCTCAGTTTGTATCTGTCCCTATCAAATAAAAAAATAAAACCAGGATAATAAGCCAAAACAGTTGATAGTGTAAGTGACAGACTATAAATGGGTCTTTTTGCCGGTCTGTCATTGCACACAACATGCAGCATGTGTCCCAGTCAGGGAGCTTAAGAGCATATAATGTCCAGAAGCAGAGGGAAGCAGTTAGAGGCCTGGAAATGTTTGGAGTGTTTTATCTCTTCCTCCGCCTCCTCCGCCTCCTCCGCCTCCTCCTCCTCCTCCTCCGCCTCCTCTGCCTCCCCATCGAGCTGTTTACGGGAAGTGTGCTTTATTACAGTCTTGCCCTTTGGCAGTACAGAGTATCTGGCAGAGCGAGCCGGTCCAGGGCTCATGAAGGGTTACGGACTTCCTGACAAAAGAACAAGATAATAAAGCCCTCACATCGGTTCAAAAGACAAATGACAGATACCCAGTGGACTGAAGGAAATGTTAACCATCAGAGAGCTGAATGAAGTCATGGGTATAAGTTTTTAATCACTCATAGTCCAATGATATTTATACTTCATTTCCCTCGAGATTTAGCATTAACAGTTCAGGTATGTGTGGCATCAATAGCTTTGAAAACTCCTGTGAGAATGACACATTATACAGAGAAAAATCACACTTATCAGAGTAACATGAAATGTCTTTATTTCTTCCTACAAACACGTGTTAGAAACAGCTCCAAAAATATACCATTCTGTTAACAATCCATGAAAAATAAAAGCCATAGTGCATTTGTGTTCCCCACAAAGCGAGGGGCGGGAGGGGACGTCTAAGATAGCGAAATAGCTTAGCAAACATAATAATAATCTAATACAAAAATATATATACAACACTGATGTCATAACTTAACCAGCAGCACACTGTCATTAAATATCAAGGATAAGTGGTGAAACAGTTTTGGAAGACACACTTCACCGCATCAAATGTGAGAGTCTCCAGACTGAGGCACTAAAAAAAGATAAAAACATAAGGCTGAAGGTCAACATGTAGGGCTTGCACACTTGCAGAAAATTGCCGAATTATTCAAGTTTCTCCTGCCAGACCTCGAGTAAGTCCGAGTGAGCTGATGTGAGAATCCAGCAGGATATTCTCCGGAGAATTCAGCTCGAGCCAATAGGAGAGGGGGGGGTGGTGACGTTTATATACTGTCTGCCAACGACCGCAACGATCTCCGTGCAAGTAATTAAACTGCTGCAAAATGTTTTCTTTTCATCAGTATGTTGTTCTTTACTCTTTTGTTGATGTTGTCATTCCATTGGATTACACATAGCATTGATAGAAAGGCAAATATTGTCATTATAGCGTTGTTTAGCGGACTCTGTTGCTCCGTCCGTTACCCCCTCCCCCCCTCCCGTCTGACAGGGATAGTCTCCAGCTGTGAGGAGCATATGTGAACAGCCAGGTCAGGAGAATATCCAGAGCAGTCCTCTGGAAATTACATAGATATTTTCAGGAGTGCACATGTGAAAACGTTCAGTTATTACTTCTGATTAATAAACACATCATCTATTGCTCAATGTTTCTACACGTAAAATCTTCGTCCATTTTCATAGACACTGATTGAAAGAACTCTAAAGAAACGAGGGACTTGTTTGGCTGCATTGGTGTCTGCATCATGGTTACTATGGTCACTTTTTGAAGTTAACATGTTGATGTATTTACAGCAGTGCCGAGTGATGTCAGATTTTGAACTCTGAACTTTTCTGTTCCAGACTAAGAATGCTTGGAAGTTCCCCGGAGGCTTGTCCGATCCAGGAGAAAACATCGGTGAGTGTCACGCTCAGCAGAGCAGAAAACAAAAAATACAGTACATCTAGATCGCTCCTTCAGCTTTACTATAAGGCATGAAGATGATTTACATTCATTTGACCTGTACAACAGAAGGCACATAGTTTATATATATGCAAAGATTTAAAAAATCCAAATTCACCTTTTTGAACATTTTAAAAGCAGCTTTAGTGTTACATATATTTATGACCCATCCCCAAAAAGCAGCGTCAAATGTTTGTCTATACAAAATATATATATTTACAGTATTTTCCCTTTAACACAAATAATATAAGTATCTATTTTCGTCTGGATCATTGAAATGCATACATACATCGATATACTATATATTGTATTGAATCTTTCTTAGGTGCCACTGCCGTTCGGGAAGTCTTTGAGGAAACCGGCGTTCGCTCCGAGTTCAGATCTCTGCTCAGCATCCGGCAGCAGCACAACCACCCGGGCGCCTTCGGCATGTCCGACATGTACATCATCTGCCGACTCAGCCCGCTCACCTACGACATCGACTTCTGCACGCAGGAGTGTCTGCGCTGCGAGTGGCTGGAACTCGCCGAGTTGGCAAAGACCAACGACACCACACCCATCACCTCGCGCGTCAGCCGGCTCCTCCTCCACGGCCTGGAGCGAGGCTTCCACCACATCGACCTCCCCATGGAGGAGCTGCCCGCCGTCTACTCTGGGATGTTTTACCAGCTCTATCACAGACGGCTTCCTACTCTTAGGTCCTAGCCAGACGTCATTGACGTGAAGAAGTTAGCATTGCGTTGCTAACTGCGCTAACACATGAACGTCTGAGTTATTTAAACTGTATTTATGACTGAAATGATTTTGCAGTGTATACACACTAACTGTTACTGTTAAGGAAATATGGTGCAATAGTTATTCACTTTGTGAATTTTAAAGAACTGCTGGACCTGCAAGACTGCAGAGTTTTACACTCTTCAGTTAGCCCTTGATGGCGGCCATTTTGGAAGTCAACTGTTGTTGGGCCACAATAGCTGCTACCAGATATTTTCATTTTTCATGGTACAAAATGAAGCTGTAATTTTAAATAAAAGTGTTTTTGATTACAAGCTCACCACCAGTGTAAGCTAACAAATCGTTGACGAGTAGCTAATTTAGCTTTTCTTTTTTGTTTTTTTAAACCCAATATTTATAACGCTTTTCTCTGGTGCCATTTAGCACAATTCTCAAGTTAAGTAGAAAAGAGAAGCCCAGTTGAATCAGCAGGTAAAGTAACAACAAGCTCAGGAAACATTTTCTGCATCCTTTAAAGTGTGTCAAGATACTGAGTGGTGTTAAAGACTGTATGTAGAGCTTGTGTTTTGTATCTTTCTTTTTGTCATACTAAATTTGGTATCACAAGATCATGAAATAAAATCCCTTTTCTCTTGTTTTCAAGTTTTAAAAATGTATAATTCACCAGTCTTTTTCCCCTTTTTAATCCAGCAAATGTGTGTTGTATTTTAGAACTCAGTCAGAGGAGAGAAGTTGTACGGGTGAAAATAACTAAAAGCTGGGGTGCCAGAGAAGAGTTGCACCTGGCTCCAGATGCCCCCCGTGCAGCAGCTGGTTCAGTCCACAGTGAAAAAGCCGTGTTTGAGAGTGTGTGAAAGTGAAGCCGGGTCATGAGCGGACATGTCGAGGATAAAACAGTGAGAAGCATCACAGCTATTTTGGGCAATGATTGATGGTTCAACCAAATGTGTCTTCATTGCCGTCACATCTTCTTCTTTGTCGCTTAAGTTAAGACACAAAGTATATCTTCAACGAAATCCCAGATTAGCACTTGGCTGACATTGGAAGAAAGAGAATGGCCTTTTGACCCGGTCCAGTTTTGCTCCCGGACTTGTACTGACCAGTCCGCTTCAGTGCCACGTACATGTTGGGGTACTTCCTGGAGCGGTAGGTGTTGTAGTTGTTGCTCTCGAGTCGCTCCAAGAAGTGGCATTCATCTGTCGCTCGTCTCTGGAGGGGAAAAGACACGGGGGAGTAAGGAAGTGAATTTTAATGCGATGGTCATTGAGAAACAGGTAGATTTCAATTGGATAAATTTAAAATTCACACTTTTTAGGGTTGTCACAATAGCAGAATTTTAGACTTAGGGCGCGGTCACACTGGCCATCCGTACCGTGCCCAAGCACACTTCAACACTATGACGTTACGTACAAGAGGTTATCATGCTTTTAGGCACGGTTAGTCCTGGCCAGTGTGACCGTGGGCCAGGCCGGCCAGCGTGGGAATGGCGCAGAGGGGGGGCCAATCGTGCTTGAGTACAGCACAGTACAGGTGGCCAGTGTGACTGCGCCCTTAACAGCATTTCCTAACAGCATGTGACACCAGTGAGCGTGTCAGCTTGATCCCCTTGTTTCCTATTTGAGGGGCCAGCATTAGATGCAGCGCAAGTAAACACAATGTTTTTACCCTGAAGACCTGTTTCTATTATAATTCCCATCGCTCACAGACATGGGCAAGGAACGAGGGGGATCTACCAGGCACTGTGCGGTGGATCAAAAAAAGGTTTTTGTCTGAAAGGCTCAGTTCTATATTCGTACACATTCAACAGGGGAGGATTTTTTTTTACAGTAGATGTTTGCGAGAAGGCTAAAGGCTCAACTCCATCTCTTTGCTTGTTACTGGGTTGATCAAAAAGTTAGGTGAAAACGGCATTTCCAATATGGCCACTGCCATTGTTTGGCTTCAAAACGTCTCTTCAGATACCAATGGGTGACATCAATGAGACTTGTTTTTATACCGTCATGGGTCAGACCCAGGATAATTATCACAACTGCTGTCAGATTTGTGATTCCACAAAGTTAAATTTAAATCATGGAGGTCAATGGGCAAATATATTAAATGTGATAACTTTATAGAATGTAAACAGAGAGAAAAATGAATCATGATGTGCTGGAATAAACTTGATTTCATAAATATAAACAGCAAGGGTTCAAGCTCTTCAGGCCAAACTTGATGATTTGGCTCTCGTGCTGTCATTTTTTTTAGTGCTCACAAAACCTCCCCTCTGAACATTGTCCTTTGTAGAAAACATAAAAAAAAACATTAATTACTGAACGTCTGGCCAGAATGTTGCTGTCTCGCTGGGCGTTAGCTGCCCTGCACTCTGTCCAACAAGAGACTTTTGTTTTGAGTTTCTGGTTTTGAGTCGTGTGTGACTGCACAGGCATGGAGCTGTTAGAGGACATGTTCTATCAGCTGGAACAACCTCCAAAAGGCTGCTTGGTATAATTCATTATGCAAAGGCCGTAGCTGCCATTGATCAATATCATACCTCAGACACTGGACGTGTGCAACAGAAAATGGGTCGTGGGTGGTGTTATGCTGTCCTTGCAGTACTGAACCTTTGTCTTATCATTGCTTTGACTTTGACTGACTGCGAGAAGTTTAACTAATCGTTGCATCTAACATTTACTGTTAAACTTACTGATTCAACTTGAGACAATATAATTTTGTCAAACGTTTACACTGCAAATACTCAAATATAAGCAAGTGTATTCATCTGATTTCAAATCAAAAATAATATCTTGTAGAGGTGGGAAATCAATATTATATCAGGCCATCAAGTATTGATATTTTTATGTTATTTATAGCAAATATGCTTTTTAACATTTTTAATTGCTGAAGGGGTTGCACAATTCATGTTGAACAAGTTACATTGTTAATCTTCGTCCAAGCATGTTCATGTTAAGTTCCATTAGACTGAAATACTAATTGTGCATGCAGCCTTTTACAGGGTTTGACTTTGATCACAGTGTTGGTCAGTCCGTGGGCTCGACTCTCATTGTGTAGAAATAAAAACACTGAAGTAAGATGAAGAGACTGAGAATTTTTTCCTATTTGGCAAAACATTTCTTCATTTAATTTAATCTATAATCACATAATTTGCAGATAAAATATCTAAATCGCAATATATGGCATCGCGATTCTCAGCATATCGCAAAATGCTTAAAATCGCAATAATATCGAAGCAAATATCTTGACACTAAATAAAAGCCACAGACTTAAGATAAACATCTTATTTCAAGATATTAAAAGCAAAAATGAGGCCCCAATATTTGTAAAACAAAGTGCCAATGGGCAAATGTCTTGAAATGAGCTGTACTTTATACATTTCCACACACCGCTAAAATGGTGCATGTACCATTTCCATTTTTTTTTTTTACTTATTACAAGCAATTAAATTATTGTGTATTGTATTTTATATCTTGAAATAAGGCTTGACTTGTCATGTATATTCAGTGTAGTGACATACTTTTGACTAGAAATGAGACAAATACACTTAATTAGTTGTGAGTTTTTCATCATGTAGGGATACATAATATTGAAAATAAGCCCAGTTCTAAGCAACAGAAAAAATGTTTTCTTTATCAGTTTGTGAGCATTTTAGGGAAAAGTGTTTAGGAATAGAGCATGGATGCATCTAGTCAAGTTGATGAATATTGTGAGGAAAATGTAATTTCTTTGCAGCAACATCAACTAAAAATCCTCCCATCAGTCAACAAAAAGAGTTTGGGGTTTTTCAATGATTTTTCCACAAGAGCAGAACAGTGTGGCGCCATGGGTGGTAGCTACAGTAGCTTCTCATTGGGAGGAAAAGCCTCTTGCCAATTACATTGACTGTGGACAAGCCCTTCAAAACCACCAAGCCACATCAGTCACACGCACTTCACACTTCCCCTCTACTGCTGTGAGCAACAACACTGTGGCTGCAGAGAGGCAGCGGTGTGAAAGTGGTGTTTAATATATCTCCGGAGAATTCAGATAAGTGTTTCAAATGAGTTCAATTTTGCATTTCATAGAACTACAAAAAGGAGGAGAGTCTCAGTGCTGATGATGTGTTAAAATGGTCAGAACTGTTGTTCAAACAAACACAGCATGCATGGAAACATCTCTATTTTAATGTCTCTCTGGATGATTAACCCGAGAGCCTATTTTATTCTATGATGACCGTGACAAATGAATGTCAACTTAATTGTTTCCTTGTTGTGAGGGAGGAGTTCTTGACGGGGGGCTGGCAAATATTTGGTTTCCAAAACAAAGCTTCTCTTCACAGTGCATTTGGCTCAATTAGCATTTCTGACGACTGGAAGACATACTTGACCTCTAATGGACTCCTGAGTCTGGCAGTAAAGATGATGATACTGTAAGTGTTTGACACAGCACTGTGGGAAGAAAATAACCAACCCTTGCAGGAAGTGCTTTTTGTTGATTTCACTGGTCTGCATTTAGTCATCTCAAAACTCCTTTTAACAGAAACAATTCAAAGTTTGTTAGTTAGAGAATCATAGTCAGACTCACTTACCGCTCCAAACAGTCGTCCGTCTCTGTTCATGGCCAGATAGCGATTTGCACAAACTCCTTTGATGACCACCTCCCCCACTGAGGTCGCCTGGAGTTGAAGCTTTACTGGGGTAAAAGACAAAGAAAACATTTTTTTAGCAAAATAAGACAAAAATACAAAACATCCTAGCTTTAGGGTGTAAAAAAAAAAGGATGCCAATAAGATCAGGTGTTTCCTTCATCCTTACACTAAATCCTTAATCTCTTTAGAAGAGAATGTGCTATATTTAGTCCGACACCAGAAGATTTGGGATTTACTTCAGAAGTGTCGTACCATTACCTTAAAGGCTTTATATGTGATTTTTTGATCCAGCAGATGTCGCCCTTGAGCACCAGCATGAAACCAAAACAACTTGCGCTGCATTGTTGTGTTAGCATGCTAATGCTAGCGATCTTTATTATGCTGGTATCTTCACACTGCATGTAAATTTACCTGAAATGAGCGTGATCTAGAAACACAGTTAAGCAGTGAGTACAGTATGTTATTCTTCTTTTCTTTAGTCCCTCAATTAAACAACTTTTATACGCGAGGGGAGGAGTCAGCTGTCCGTCCCGGCGATGTAAACAAAGTGAAGGTGTGAAAAGCCTTTAAAAAGCTCAGCTCAAATACAATGCATTATTATTGTTAGTGTAGTAGGAGGAGCTAATGGAAGCGTGTACAATGTAATTTGCTTAACGTTAGCCACGTATGGCACCAAAAGGAGCAATGGCAAGTGTTTATCTAGATCGTCTCCTCTGTCTTGTCCCTTGTTCCTCTGCATGGAAATAATATAATGTTAGCATTTTTCCTATGGACAGCCAGGAGGAGAGCAAGCAATCTTTTGCCTAGCAACCGTGTTCCCATACGGTTACCACTTGAACGCCAAGCTTTTCCTCCTTCACGACTTGACTTCATGTTCCATTCCATTCAAGTTCGAATCTCAGATGTATCAAAATCATCTCCACAGATGTTTATATGGACAGCACTGTTTGACAACAGAGCATACTTAACATAGCGCTTAACCACCAAAAAAGGAAGCAGATGGCTCAAAGGGTAAATTGGGGTATCTGTGCAGAATACATTTACATTAAGGCTTAAGCATCTGTCTACAGTTTAGGCTTCCTGTCTGAATGATTCATCCCCCACAGATCAAAGAGGCGTTCTTCCCCTGCAAGAAATGTTTAATTGGTTTGGGTGAGTTGTGGTGTGTTCCATGTTTACCGGGCTTATTATGTTCCACAGATTTTCTGACTGCAGGAAATCCTTCCCTCAACGTTATTCTGGTTCCTGGAGAGTGGGCGTCCGATCTGTAACCGTCCTGTTGCCTCTAATCTAAAGGGCATCTATTGGTTCTAAAATGGTCCCCAGAAAGTGTGAGAATAGGAAGTGAGCTACAAACACCACCAATGAGATGCGGATCAACCCCATTTAAATACAGCACAGCTTCATCATGGAGTGTATTTAGTGACATAACTGTAGCTGGCGGGTATGTTTGGTTGTCTGTGTAGTTGGCAGGAATACTGCAGCATTAACAGAAGAACCATTGATAGAGCACTGCTCAGGTCATGTTAACTGTAAGAAACCATTATGGTAAAATGCTCAATGAGTGTTTTTGACAACGATTGCTTCTTTATGATTCATTGTGGATACACTCCTTTATTAAGCAATGATACTGACTGTTTCACTTCCATAATGACAGAAATGCAAAAAAAGCTAAATATGCAACGTGCTCATATCATTAAAAGTTTACTCCTCCAATTTATTCTACAATAAAATGTATCTAAATGTAAAGGTCATTGATTTTTCGTCTCAAGATAGCTCTACTCTCATTCCTGAATCGGGTGTCGATTTAAGCACACCTGTTTAAAATGTCAAACTGTATCTTGGAGCAATACACTTCCAAACAAGTGTCCTCCCCTCCCACTTACTGATGCAACTTGGGACACATACTTGAAAGTTATCAGTGATCCAGAGGCACCAAGGGGTATCATATTTGTCCACAACCAACTTTGAAAGATTTATACACAAACATGTGGAAAAGCTCAAATGCCTCTCTCTTGACACAGTTGAGTGGTTGGAATATTTACTTCATTTAGTAGGAATAGTTTCATTTGTCGGCATAACTTCACTGACCTTACAAACTGGCAGGATCTTACAAAACCAGGAATTCTCCTCTGCTGGCTGTTAACTCCATGTTGTCTCCATGTGTGACGTAAACCACACTATGAGTCAGCATCAACTTTTACTAAAAAAAAAATGTCAGGGATATTCCGCTTTCCCATTGATCAAGTAAACAGCGAGGTGTACTTTACTTGAACTGGAGTTATTAGACTTTCCAGAGGTAGACCTATACACACACACATTCTGGTGTTTACAAGTGGAGAATAAACCCTCAGTGAGCCGGAAAATTCACATCGGTTCCTCCATTACTTTCTCTTGCTAAACTCTGTCTTCCCTGTTGCATATTAAAAAAAAAAAAAACAGAACAAAAAGGAGCTTTGTGAAAGAACTGGAAGCACTTACTGTGGGGGTCGCTTTTCTCCCGGATTCCATCCACTCCCCCGTCAGACCTTATCCTCAAGAAGAAGCCCCCGTTTTTACAGTAAAGTCTTTTGGGATCTTTAAAGCCCCCCGGAGGAAAGCCACCGCTGCCGCCGTCTTCAGGTGTGGAAGGAAGTGTGGTGATTTCTCCAGTGGCCATCTCCTCCTCTCTTCTTGCCCTGCTTCCTCGGGTAACTGCTTTGTCTTCTATCTTGAGCAGTGCAGGAGCCCCCAGTGTGGCCTCCCACCTCCCACTAACTGTTCCCTCCTCCACAGAGCTTCACACTAACTGATTCTGCTTAACCCCCACAGAGGTCACTTGAAAGAACCCCCCTCCTCTCAGGGGCCCTTTAAGTCTTGAGACTTAAGTCTTCGGACTCCTAAATTCTCCTACCTACCAGCAAACCAAAAATCCACAATTTGTTGTTGCTCATCTCTATTTTTTAGAGCCTGCCGTTGCCTTGCTTCTGTCCTCTGAGCACACTGGTAGGGGGGGATGCATGCGGCTTCCCCTTCGCTTCCACTCTCTCTTTGCAGTGAAGTGTTTAAATCATGGCAGCTGGCTTAGATCTGTGTGGAAGGCTTTCCCCTTTGGGCCTCAGTTCGCATGCGCCCTAGGAGCACCAACCAAAAAACACACATGCTCACGCCCACTAATGCTCTGTGATTTAACCAACCAACCCAGCAGACGTGCTGAAATGAAAGAAGGGCAAGGAGGGGGTGGAGGGGGGGGGGGCGTGTTACTTGGACTTTGCCTTCTGAGCTCCTGCAATATGCCAAAAGAGCAGCAGAAAGCATGTGAACAGAACCAGTGCTCTCATTCATTTTATAGTTCAAGAGTCAGAACAGAGACGTAAAGGTCCACATAGGGCGCGGTCACACTGGCCATCTGTACCGTGCTGTACTCAAACAGATCTCTTTAGTGAATCGCTCAGGGCCGTTTATAGGTCAAAGAAACAACAATGTGAAGTAGGCCGGTATAAACTCAGATGAAAAGCCTTCTGAGTCTGCTGAGGGAAGAATCTGTGATTAGTCCGTTTTCGATTTAAAGTTCATCATTTGGCAAACACTGGTCTGGAAATCTGGCTAGAGGTGACCACATCTGAAATGAAAGTCAGCTGTGCTCTCGTTTGACGTCATAATGGTGACCCCACTGAGACTGGTTGGTGAAACATCTGACATCCAACCATGCAGTGACTAACACTGTGGACTGGAATAGTTGGAAGGCTTGTGGTCCAAATACACTGCAAAAAAAAGAAAGACATGATAACGTAAAAATTCAATATTCATTCAGTATTATACGTTTATGTCATAATTGAAAGTTTTCCAGCTTTGAGAAGTGATTCATATTCACTTAAAAATTTGCGAGCTCTTATTTTCGATTGAGAGGAGTATTTCTCTTACCTCGGTGCAGCAGGGGGGTTTCGGGGATGTGGATGCAGATGGAGGTGTATCTGTGCTGGGCAGTGAGTCTGAACGTGCTCTTTTGTAATCTGGAGAGTGGCTGGATTTCCTGTTTTTTCCCGTGAGTGAAGATGCCGTTCTCATGATGCCGAGTCTTTTGGAACAGTGGTTGAAAAAGTCGTTGAGGTCCGCAAAACAATCCTCCATTTTTAGTTTAGTTGCTTTCCTTGCCCCTGGCTCTCACACACCCCTGAGACCGGGGGCACTTCTGTTTTTCTTTCAGGTTGCTGCACCCACTCTTTTAAGACATTTATGTGTAGTACCCTACTGGAGCGTGAGTGCCCTGGTGTTGATACCTGGTATGTAGTTGGCCCAAGTTTCTTTAGGATTTGGAACAGTCATTTGCCATTTAGCCAACAGTTTGTTGTCATCACCAGGTAGGAGCACCAACACTTTATGTCCTGCGTCGAAGGATCTCTGCCTGGCTGACTTGTTGTACCAGGACTTCTGTTGCTGCTGGGCGTCCGCCATGTGCGATTGGGCCAGCTCACCCATTTTCTCCAGCCTCTCAACAGTGCCAACAGCCCCCGAACTTCATGTCCATACAAAAGTTCAAAAGGAGAGAAACCAGTGGAAGATTGGGTACTTCTCTGTATGCAAAGAGGAGGTAGGGCAGCCATTGATCCCAGTCTGTACCAGTGTTGTTTACCAACTTCCAGAGTATCTGTTTCAGGGTCTGGTTAAAGCACTCTGTTAGCTCATCCGTTTGAGGAACATATGGTGTAGTCCTGAGTCTCCTGATACCCAGTAAGTGGTACACCTGTTTCAGCAGAGTAGACAAAGTTAGTTCCCTGATCAGTTAATATTTAAGGGAAGCCCACCCTTGAAAAGAACTGTACCAAACAGAAAGCATGGATGGATTTTAGTGGAAAGACTTCTGGATACTTGGTAGCAAAGTCTGTTATAACCAGCATATAATGGTTTCCTCCTTGACCAACAATGTCCATCCCACGGTGCTCAAATGGGGTGCAATTAATGGGTAGTGGTTAAATTTTAATTTTAATTATTTTTATTTGAACATATTTTCAGATTTAATAATTTCAGTGATTTTTAAATGTTCTATTTTTATGTTTCTTTTCTTTCCTCTGTCATGATGCTTTTGTCTTGTGTGAAGCACTTTGAATTGCTTTGTCGTTGAAATGTGCTACAGAAATAAACTTACCTTTGCCTTGCCTCTGAAAAATATTGGGTTCATGTGTCCTTCATTCACAATTACACCTGCAGATGGCTAAAGTGAGTAATTAGTGATAACCAACATTACCTTATCTTACAATGATCTACAAAATTAATAGTACAATTAGTATATAAAAACAGAATTTCTGAATTTTCCCCTGGGATTAATAAAGTTTATTTGATTCTGATTCTGAAATCATGAAACAAGATTTATGTTTGCAAGTGATTTTTTTCTAAAAATAAACTCATGCGACACATTTTGGTGAGTTGCATCACAGGAGTTTCGTTCCCATGACTTCCTTTATAGACCTGATACAAACTATAGTTCCACAGGTAGCAGTATGTAGAGTAGCTCACTAAAGCCTTGAATACATTTTCAATTTTATGGCTGCCAGTAAAACTCAAAAACGTTTTTTCAACCATCAAACAATAACTATAAAATAAAATAATTCTATATATGACAGGGTTTATGGTAGCATGTAAATGTAATGAATGCATGGTGAAAGTTAAAACTCTGACTTGGAAAAAGTTACTGAATTAACGATTCTCTTAGTGTAGACGAAGCGTTGGGCTTAAACATGAACTCAGCCTGAACTGCAAGATGTTTCAATTATGCCTTTCCAATTTCCTCCTCTATGTTGTGATTGTTCTGTCATACTCCACCCTCTCACCGCTGCCGACTGATGACTGAGTCAAGGTTGTTGTTGCTCCACTGTGAAGCCTTTTAATTTCACCGAGTTATTTTTAGAAAACGACAAGAATCTCTCTCTCTCTGATCAAAAGAGGAAATGGAAGGTCTCACATGTGACACCTCTGAAAAACAAAAAAAGTGCAACACATAGGAAAGAAGTCTAAAGATATCCAACCAAGAGTATGCTTTGTGAATTTATTTTCCAAGTTGTAGACATTTTTTTCTTGATGTTTCCAGAATTCCATCACATTTAATTACTCCCACAAGTCACCTTTAACATGGACAGGTCTTAATGAGACTTAAAACCAAAACCATTTCCTGAGCCTGGAGGCTTTTTTCTTCTCCATCAACCGTTCCCATTGTGACACAGGAGGGAAGCCGTGTCCAATGTGAATTGTACATGGCCAAGCTGTAGACGCTTAATGAAGAATGGGGGAATAACATAAAAGAAGTGCACTATTACATAAAATCATATGGCATGTATACTTCTCCCATGATCTATTAGAGGGAGATGTAATTGTGTTTTTTGGACAAACAACTAGTCCTGCCTGAACTGAGGAAAAAGACAAGGTGTGTAAAAGAATATGTTCCAGAAATATAACCTTATGTTTTTTATTGTACTTTCTACAAATGTAAGGAAGATATTAGGGGACGGGCTGTGAAAAATATGACAAAAAAAAATGTATCCCCTTATTTAAAAATGACCAAAGACCCAAGTCAACATGCTGAGAAGTACAACATTCAGTATGAGTGCTAGGCATAACAAAACAATCAAAAGAGAGGACTTTCTTCATCCTTGGATTTTTAAAATACTCCTTTTTTTTCTACTTACATTTTTCTTTACTTTTGTTGGAACATGTTTCTACAGCAAGTTGTACAATTAGAGCAAGACAAGAAATAAATAAAACAAACATAGAACAGGAATAAAAAAGAAAAAAAAAACGGCCATTGGTTACAGGAGTCCATTATTCGGAGCATATAGATTCAGAGTGTTGAAGTATATGTCAGTCCATCAGCATCAGTTTCTAGTTATTGCCTTATTAGTGGTTATCAATAATATCTTGACTAAGTATCTATCACGTTCAATCACAGAATAAAATACTCCTTTTTTAATTGGATTTTCTCTGTACTTGGCAAAACTGAAAGTTGTTTTCTCTTTTAACTCTGTAGGGTTTATTGTTCACTTTTTAAATGTGTCCTCTGAATGCAAAAAAATAATATGGAATAAATCAAATCTTTCCCCTCTACAGAGCACTCATGATAAAACTTGACTTGCAAAGAAAACTTTAAAAACCTGTCTATTTTATGTTTTGTTTTTTTACTGTGGATTGGTTTGCAGGCCCTTTGGCATCAACAAGTTCACAAATATAAGAAAATAAAACAGCTGTTGACTGTGCATCTTTTATTTATTTCATACACTGTGCTTCCTTTTGAGATATTTGTAATACCTGGAGGTCATGATAGCAACGGTTAAAATGTGCAACAGCTTTGGATTGAAGAGTCACTAGGACCACATTGTCTTATGTTGTTTTGTCTCCCCCAAGTGGTAGGAAATGGGCATAACAGTTTCACTAAAATATATTACATGACAGTGTTATTTTACTACAAACTAATGACGAGAAAATAACAAATAAAAAAACGATTTATTGTAATTTCACTTTACCGGTCATAAAAATACAATTTATTTTTCTTTTCCAGGAACAAAATGTTTTCAATCAGATGTTTCCTGGAGGTCACAACAGCATCAGGTTTCCTTGCGCAGCCTCAGTTTTTAGGTCAATGCCTGTGATGACCTCAGCATCAGTCTGTAAGACCAGAAAAACCAGATCTGACGCTTTCCTCCATGCTTCCTGCTTCACACTCAGGTTATCAAAGACCTTTGTTGATGGTGCATCAGTGGATTTTACAGGAAAGGAAACGGCCCTACCCTCTTGTTCAGCTTCTAGGAAAACCTCTGAGAACATGGATGGAGCCCCTGGACTTTGGTTACAGTCCTGCAGTTGCTGGCTCACTGCAGTCCAGGCTTGGACTTTTGAGAACTCTCCAGTGTTAACCATTACAGTGGATAAGTAATCCATTAAACCATCTGCCATGAGATGCAACACCACACTCCTATAAGGGTTAGCTAATGCTGCTCGTTTGGTTTGTTGGGAGGAGTTCCTCTCTGCTCGCTTTTGAAGGTGTTGAATACAAAGCATTTCTGTCACCCCAGCACCGGGCAGGACGGCTTTTTCCTTCAGGGCTAAATGTAAACG